TCCGATTCTTATCTTTCTGGTTGACCGATTTCACTCGGTTCCATCCCTAATGTATGTTTTACTCCAAATTTCAGTAGCACGTACAAAGTCACCTCACCTGCAGAGCGCATAGGTTCTGATTCTCATGCTTGCAGATATTAGGCATCGCCTTCATAGGTCATCTTGATTAAACCCGTGTACCCTGAGCAAGCTGTGAATGTCTATCTCCGATCTCCTGCTACCTCTAGAGTGGGTTTCTATTCCGTTTGGCTTTAATGTCGAATTTCTCTGACGGTTGTGGTTGTCATTAGCCCTAGTCACGTGACTGCCAGGACCCCTAAATTGTAGTCGTTTCTTCGAGCAGACTACACTCACTGTAAACGTCTTATTTTGATTTCCGAAAGTCCTTTATCCGCTTCTTTCTTGCGATTCCTTTTCCTCTGCTTAACGATAGGCCCTTGATCTAGGCCTCTTCTTTTTGCATTTCTTGTGTCCTACTTTTCTCAGAGTCTGCTATGCCAATGGGCAAAGTTATCGCTAATTCTGTCTTCCTCGGTTTATTTTTTTTTCTCCAGGAATGTCAATGGCATCCCTAATCTTCTGTTTCCTGTATGTGGCCCTTCTTTATGCTGCCTTCTAATTGATCTCGTGTCCATTTGTTTGTCGTGTTCCGCGATATGCGTTTGCGATTTGCGAAAACGGAATCAGCCCTCCTCTATACATCGAAAGTAGTCTGCGACCATTCCAAAGGCCACACTATCTTGCTCTTCATAACTTATTTTTTCTCTTTATTTATTTGATGAATATTGTCTGCTTGAGTGTTATTATATCTCTGTACGCATGAGTATGTGCTCGCGCATCCGTTTCATAGCCACAGATTGGCTGTATGCCTCGGTAATTGCCATTCTAGTCAGGTAGTGTCCCCGAAGCCTCTTTTAGCTGAATATGAAGAGATGACAGTGCGATGCAACTTGATGCGTCCCTTCAGCTTATAGTTTATAACTTGCTTCATTCAAGAGATGTACTTGGAGATGCGATACGAAAAAAAAGCCGTAGAGAATGTGATAAGTTAACTTTAAGAATACATCATAAAAAGCTGTCACTCATATACGAATAATTTGATACAAAGCGATATGGACACGTCTTTTTGGCTTTATTTTCGCAAGAGCACTTTTTACATCTTCTTTCGAGTCCAGTAGTGCCTCTTAAATTGTATTAATATTAATTTTTTTTTTCATTAACTTATTGCCAAAAGAGCCTGTATTTCTCAATTTTTATTCGTTTACCCTTTACTTAAGTCGAAGATACTCATGGAAAATGACGGATGAAGCCCTTACAAATATCGGCTCACAAATATCACTACTATCTCACCGCCGCCAATCTTATTCATATTGATAATTTATGAGAATTTCTAAATTTAGTCACTAGTATTATTTCTACCTGCTTCTCTGTTCCCCTTATCATTAACTTATTTTATAATTGTCATTCAGTTTGATTCGTGCTAATCCTGAAGTTGCTGGCGAAGTGCTTTCCTGCTTGCTCCAGGTGCTACCCGCCGTCCAATCTCCATGTCTGACTAAGGATGTCACTTCTGCCCCTGTATCTTTTATTGTACCTCCATTTTCCCCAGACTCAACTCGATCTTGCCTTCAACAGACAAAACCATCCTATACTTCACGAACTCCTGGTCAGAGTTCATCACCCCACACAGCTGACGGGCCTTCTTAGACCTAGACAGCGGAGCTTTTTATCTTCTTCATTTCTCAATTTGGCAAGAATTACGTCCTCTGGGATTCAAACGTGGGTTTACCTTGTTTCTTATCATCCAGCTCAAGTCATCGTCCCACTTAGCTCAGGGTTTTACTCATTACCTGTCTTAATCTCTCGCTTGCACTCCACGTTTAGCCTTGCTTCACTCTAATTTTTTCCAGTCTCCCTCAATTTATACTTTGATTTATATCTCCCGAACTTCTATATCCCTTCCACTTTCCCATTCCTAATCCTTTGCAGCCTTTTTCCTCTATTGACTTAAAATTAACTTCTAAACATAAGCCTTAGTCTCTCAAATCATTCCGGCACTCACACTCAGAGCCCCATATATTTCGTATCTACGCGCCCATGTATACATACATATTCTTAATCATCCAAACGTACATGTATGTATACATGAACTAATCCTTAAAACTTTTCGCTGTGTTAATTTGTCCTTCAATTCATCCTGCGACGATATTTATCAAGGCAGTTGGGAAATATAATATTTTATTGTTTTTAACCAAAATGAGCAAAATATAGAGGTGGACTACCAGCATAAAATATATTCTATGAATTCCGTTTGAAGGCCAACGCTTTGAGAATTTATCATTAATCGTAGTGCAATAAAAAAATTTTGACTTGCTTTGAGATATTCTCACTTTTCATCTCCACGGATATCCTAACAAGAGCTCATTTTTGCACGTGAGTTCCTGTGGTTTCGATAAATGTTATGTCCTTTCCCACGTAGTCATCTACCCGGACAAATTGTTCTATACTCGATTTCATATCCTCTTTTATTATGCTGACGCTCTCAGGTCATATTTATCTTCTGTATGAAAAGTATAGTGGTCGCTTATTGTCTGCTATCATTGCTAACTCAAATGTACATAGGTACTCCTTCAATTCTTTAATTTCAGCCCAGCCTTCTTCTCATAACTTGTATTTCATTTTATCTTCTTAAGAGCCTGTTAAGAATAGCTACATTCCATGTAAATTTATTCTCAAACATTCTGATATTGAATTGCTTTATCATGTGCTCTTCTCTACATCCACTTCGCTCCAGCTGTCTAATTACGGCATATATTATCAAAGTAGGTATTATTGCTCTTGGCTATCTGTTTCCATAAAGCGGAATTCCAGAGGTTTTCTTTCAAATGTGTTGCTTCCATTACTATAGCAACTATCAATGCTATTATGATTGCTATTACTTTTGCTATTATGAATTTAACGGCACACTCTTTACAACGATTGAGCGCCCATATTTTCTTTTAGACCTATATTAGTGTTAGGTCTTATTGACTTCTAAACCCATTTTGTCTATTTTCTTATCCCTCTTCATAGTAGAACAAAGATCTTTGTCATCCTAGGCTTTTTGACTATCGTAAATTTTTCTTTCCGGAGAGTCTAAATGACCAACAGCTAGTCAGATAGCCTCTGTTTACTTTCTAAACTCTGACAAAAATAATGTATCTGATTTAGCCCGTTTTTTCTAGATAAATGAATCTTTTTCCAATAAGTATACTTTTCTATTTCCTTTTCAGTTAAATTAATGAACGAAGGAAGCCTCTAATTACCTATCTTTAGTCCCAAATTTTTTTCACGGTTTATATATTCTTTGATCTATTAACTTTTTATCAGAATAGAACGGCATAGATGGATTTATGGGTTGTATCTGCATGCTTTAGCTGGATAGCTAAAAGTAAGCTATTTAATCGAAGGTATAAAGACCAAGATGGTGTGGCCTTTTGTGTGGTCGCAGTCTCCTTTCG